ACTTATATCTTCAACATACTCTGACAAAAAAAGTGTAAAAGACAGTATATGAAGTTGGTGTCCTTATGCTAATATCTTACTATAACCTGTCAGGCCCAAAACCAAGAATAGCATGGGGTGATTCTTTCAAACAGAGTTCTTTATTGTTTTCATACTATAGACAAAATATTGCCAGGCTGAACACTCTGCTATCTGCATCTTCAAAATACTCAGTGAACTATTAGGGAGAGGCTATCTTCACCCCATTTCTCTCCTACGTAACTTCTGAACTGGGTTACCTTTTACTTCTCTGAAATGTTCCCCTCCCTCTCCTGGGAATCCATCTTCTTACTACATTCCATCACATCATGAGCTTATTGCTAATATTTTTACCAAAATGAAACCAGCAACAACCATGCACGACTGTACGTTTGTGAGATAATTCAAAAGTAGAGGTAATGAAATGAGGCAGTTTAATAAACTTTAAAACAGACCCATGACTGGCTGGGGAATTCTGGGAATTGAAGTCCAGAGGTCTTAAAGTGGCCAAGGTTAGACACCCATGCTTGAAGTTTAATAAACTGCTGCCACATTTGCTCACATATACAATCTTTTTTTAAAAAATCCATCAGACAGTTTAGTAAAGACCAAATAAAAAGAAATTTGAACCGGGGTAGAAATGTAATTTGAGATGACAACTTTGGCATGATCCTCCCTAGTTTTTAATGAAGAAAAAGCAGAATGGGGTGGGGTGGAGAAACTTATTCAGACTTGCAAGATTCTGTTCACTGTAAACTTATTTTGTTACAGTAGACTTATAACAAAAAAATAGCATTAGCATTCATAACTAGAAAACTTTGGTTTTCTAGTCTGGTCTACCTTATAGGAGGGGACAGATATGGAAAACCAGGTAAGAGAAAGAACAGAATGATTTCTAGAGGAGACCATGGTGGATCACCAACTGGAGCTGTGAAGAAGAAGCTTCATATTGTAATATTTTGCTGCAGGTTCTAGTTTATATGTACAGTAAACTGCAACGATGTTCCTCTACTCATTTTCATTTAACATTTTTTTCAGATTGCAAGATAGACTTACATCACCTATTTTTAATAAAGAATTAAGCTGAGTTTTAGCTCTGTGACCACCTTATTTAATCTTTTTGAGACTTTTATTTACCAAGGCATCCACTTTCAATCTTCCATCTGCTGGAATAAATCCATTGAGTGAGATTTTTTTATTAGAACTCCAAAATCCTCTAATGCAATTCTTAAATATGTAAGTTGTCACAGCAATGGTTACATCTCTGAAGCAAATAACTATGTAAATCTAAGAATCTGTTGCCCACTGTGTCAGTTCCTACTTTATTTTTTGTCTTTATTCCCAGACTCTGCAGTCAACTAATTTGCCTCCAACAAGACATAATGATCTGTACATATTTAGGATATCCTTGGACATTGTTGGAATAAACAGGAAAGCACTACCTTAACCCAGGAACAGCTAAGGACAATTTAAACCTAACTAATTCAAAACCTGAGAAGAAACAAAGACAACAGAACGGGATCATGGCAGATATTGCAATATATGTTTTTGTTAAAAAGTTGGTAAGAGTTAGAACAAGCTATAATTCTGCAGAAACATCTTCAGGTAGGCATTTCAATACAGGTAATCTTCGACTTACAACAGTTCATTTAGTGATTGTTCAAAGTTACAAGGCATTGAAAAAAGGAACTTGTGACTTGCAACCATTGTAACACCCCCATGGTCATATAATCAAAATTCAGATACTTTTCAACTGATTCATGACAGTTGCAGTGTCCCAGGATCATGTGATCGTTTTTTGAAATCTTCTTGGCAGGCAGTCAATGGGAAAGCCAGATTCACTTAACAACCATGTTACTAGTTTAATGTCAATGGTTCACTTAACTGTGGCAAGAGAGGTCGTAAAATGGGGCAAAACTCACTTAACAAATGTCTCACTTAGCAACAGAAATTTTGGGCTCTATTGTGGTTGCAAGTTGAGGACCACCTGTATCAACATCATTTCTCTTGTCCATGGAGAGGAAGTCAATGACGAAAAGATACACATGCATTCACGTCTTAAGGTTCACTTATGTGAGGTCTGCATCTATTTCTTTAAAATGCATGCATGCTTGAAGGGAGGACTGGGGACACTGCAGTTGGAACATTTCCATCTCTAACCAACTTAATTCTTAACAACACATGTATATTGTGTAGCCAGGTGGTGAGAATGCGATGAAAATGTTGTTTCCCGTTATATAGGCTTACTTTCCAATTTCTAAGACTTCATTCACCTGTACTCCCCATCTTGGGTTGTTAATCATTAAAAATGGAATAAAATTATATAAACAAAACAAATCAAGGTATAACTTTGTACCCAGCTTTCAAATATCTGTCTATATTTTTGATAATGCAGAAAAATCCCATCAACTGACAGCAAATCTTTATGTCAGAAACTCAGTGAAGACCTACTGTATTTCAGACTTCATTGCTCTGCTGCTACTGATTCATGATGTTTATTTCATTGTTTCCTTTGGAAGCCTGGAAGAACACGGTGTTCAATTTGCTTTCTCCATCATCTTTGCAGCATTGTGTCCATTTTTGATCCAATATTAAAGGGCTCACAAGTCTTTCAATGTGTCTGATTTTAAAAACAAATTAGGCATCAACTCGCTGGCCAAATTGTTATATTTTAAAAACTTGTTCACGCACCTGAACTGTGATCATGTGAACATGAGAGTGCAAGGATTGATCCTAACTGTGAGCACCAAAATTTTTTCAACACTATTGTAATTTTGAATGATCACAAAAGTTGAGGATTACCTGTATCTATTTTGAATAATATATGTATTTTACATTTCTAATTTCACAAAGTAAATTAAAATGTAATTTTTAAAAGGCAATTTAACAAAACTATCCTGCACTAAATGAACAAAATAGAACATACACAGACAATAGAATGAACATACTTGGGTTTTGCATCTGCTCCAGTATTAATTTAAACTTAAAATTAAAAAGCTAGGAATATTAGAAGATGTACAGTCAAAAGGACTTCCCACTTCTTCCATTATACTGAAGAGAAAAAGGGAACCCCTCATTCCTCTAATTGACAAGAATAATTCCTTAAATTTTAATGCTATTAATCCAGTTATACAAAAGATCTAGTGTTACAAAAGGTGTATCCAAGATATAATGTTTAATAACCATGTAACGGACGCAAAAATAGTTTGCATAATGAAAATAAAGAGCCAGTGAATCTCTGTGTGTATAGCTCCTAGTGACCACAGGGATTTTTTTTCTGTGGTAATTAATCTATTCTTAACCGGATGTCCGGATCTTTCAGTTCTAGTGGTGCACCCATCCATTTTGCTGCTGATTTGTCGTCTTCTCTTTCTTTCCACCTTTCCCAGTATTAGGGCCTATTCCAGAGAGCTATCTGTTCTGAGTAGAATTGTGTGTGTGTGTGTGTGTGTGTGTAACACAGAAAGAGGATACATAATAAATTTTATATAAAATGCTACTGATATGAAAGGATCAAGTAGCAATATGGCTCCACATCTGCAAACCATTTTAATCACTATTTTTAAAAAATGGGAACATATATAAAAAATCCAAACATGGTGAATTGAGAACTAAGTATCAATATTTTATTTCAAGAGGAAGGAGTATCTTTGTAGCCCTCCAAGAAGATAACTCACTTATTCAAAGAGAACAGCAATAAAAAGATGAGCACTTTTATGTGGCCTACATGATAACTGAATTCCACTAAGGAGACCAAAACCAATGTCATATTATTAGATGTCTACATTGCTACCCACAAAATATTAACAAGTGCACAAATACTGACCATCCTTGTGGAAGGATATAGGAAACAAATTGGTTGAAATATGGAATGGTGATAATTTCTAACAATTGTTAAGGCATTTGCTTTGGATTTATGACTTTGGATTTATGACTTTGTTCACCGAAAAATCCCATTCCCACATATTAAATTAATCTAAAGCCTAATCTGTGCCTTAGTTTAGAATAGGAGTGTCAAACTCATATTGTCACTGCGTCATCACGTGACATATCGTGACTTTTTTTCCTCTTCACTAAATCGGGTGTGGGTGTGGGTGTGGCCAGAGCGTGACGCATTTGGCCTATATGCCATGAGTTTGACACCCCTGGTTTAGAATCTCATTTTTAGGTTGTGAGAAATAACTTTTTTCCCCTCATACAAACAAATGTTGGTCAGAATGGATAAAAGTGAAGCATGGGACAGAACTGAACAAAATGAGATTAAAGTGTATTTTAAAAGTGATTAAAACAATCAATTATTTATTAATAACAATTTTCCAATACTTGTTGCTCACCTAGGTTTCCTGTACTCCTGAAAAACCTGCCTGGCTCCCTCTACCAATAGAAAGAATCTTTCCATTCTCAGATGATCACCTCTGGATCCAATACAATGCATATCAATATTTTAGCAAGAAGTACGGTATGTTTAAAAAGAAATAGAACAATGTGAAAGGGCATCTTCAGGATTTGCTAATTGAAATTACAATCCAAATCCCATTTGATTCTACAATATTTAATGGGACTATTTGGTTAAGATGTGTATATTACACCTTGTCATGGGAAGTTAAAAAAAGGGCTTTTCTGCATTGTAAAGCCCCATTGATTTCAATGAAAAAACATTAAGTGTTTTCCAAAGGAACTCCACAGGATTTATATATTGGTACACACGTTAGATTCCATTCTCCAGCTTATCTGTGGAAAAAAGAAATCTTTATGTTTGTTATCTCCATTTTCAACTTGTTCAACATAAGTGAGCAGTTGAATTTTCCATTACAAATTTCTTCCCTTGGCAATTTGAGCATTTATGTATTTATTTGTGTGCACCATAGGTGATTAAAACATATCACACATACAACAATTTTGATTGACACAAATAGATTAGTTCTACTAATATATGTCATAATTTTATAAGACTCATATTTCTCCACTTTTTCCATATTTGGCAAAAATAAAGTATCTGTATCCTTAAACACTTAAGATAGTTCCTAAGTTCATTACTCCACCCAAAAGAGAATTAGAGAAAATGCATGATTATGCATAAATGCATATTTTTTCCAGTTTATATTAATTCTTAGAACAGGATAAGCAGCCTGCTACAATAAAAAAGATATGTCAAATGGAGAAATAATGGAGAACAAATGTATTATTTAGAAAATGAATTTTCCATGGTGCTTTTGTATGTCATAGTCTAAGCCTACAGTTTGTAATTCACATTTTAAAAAAAGCTTACGAATCTATTTTGATGTAGCTTCAAGCAGCATGCTGATTCGAACGTTCCAAACTTTCTAATCCCCTGGATAGACCAGTCCCCTGGATGGATGAATGCATTGCTCATGTCCATAATCAAAAACTGCAAACATTTCTTAGTACACTGTAATTTTACATTTTTATTGTTTGGTGAAACAAACAAGGTGCTTAAAACTGCAAGAAAAATAATACAAACCAGTGTCAGAATGGGAAAAAAGCAAAAAGAACCAAAACAGAGGAGAGGAGGGAAGAGGAGGGGAGGGAAGAGGAGGGGAGGGGAGTCCTGTAATTCTTCTACAATGATGAGCAAAGAACTTTACTATTTGTGCTGATTTGGACATTCATAGCGAACACCTGTTTTTTTTCTGAACTGTGAGTTGGGCACTAGTCATTCACTACAATTCCTTTTTTTTTAAACATTATTTAGATATTGATATTATCAACAGTTCAACACACTGCAATGTAATTGAAAATGCTCCCCAAACTGAATCTGGATCAAGATCCAAAGCAAAATAAAAATAAAAATCAGTAAATAAATATCTTGCATATATGTCAAACTATCTTCTCCAAACAAAACCTTACATCTTATGAAAGAGTCAGAAAGTACAGAGGAAAAAAAAAACACCCTCTGCTTTCTACTACTACAATACTGTTAAATCTCCAAGGATGAAATGTCCCATTTATTGTTTTTCTGCCTTAAAAAAAATTAGGTGGCAAAATTGAATTTCACCCACAGAAAGAAAATGCACATATATGAGAGCACTGGTTTAGCAAGATATCAAATATACAGTATTCTAGTGTCAAAAGTACAGGCAGAAATGTCCAAGAATTCTTGGTGAAAAAAGGGGTAATTGAGTAAAAATTCTACTGGACAATCACTCACATTTTAACAGTGTATTAGTTATAACAAAAGCCAGATGGTAAGTGAGCAACAGATTCTAGTGTTCAGTGTTTGTAGCAAAGTATTTTCTCTGCTCTTTTTAATGAGGTTGAAAACACATACTCATGTATGGGAAATTTTTATGCAACTATGTTTATTCATTCTTCCCAGCTTCTTGAAAGAGGCAGAGTTGGGACATTGATCTGATTTAAATGATAGGACACAGTGATTTGGATAAAGCGTTCGCCGTGCCTTATTCATTATCAAATAATTACTTAGTCCTCCAATCTGGCTTCATCTATTCTTTTGCCTCTAGAAAAAGTGTTTCTTGAGGGTACAATTTTAACTCCAATAATGATTTATTTGGATCCAGCTGGGTTACCTGTGAAAATAAAAAAGAACAAGTCAGCCTGAAAACAAAAGTATAGGAAGCCTTCAATTACCATTTCAGAAATAGATTAATAAACATTCCACAATTAGTTTGATTGGTTTGTTGTTAGTTGGTATATTTAAGAGTCAGGAAATAGTCTTGTTATGCTCATAATAGCATTTGCAGCAAAACATACAAAATAAATAGTTAGCTGTACCTTCCAAAAGCTTTGTACTTTTTTAACAGAATCTAAAAATATTTGCACTGTGATGAAACTATTGACATTTTTATAATTTGGGGAAAGAAAAATATTACTGTTTACAGAATATACACACAAAAGTATGGTATTCCCTTAATTTGATTGGTTTCCAAGTGCATATATGAGATACATCATGTAATTATTTTACTTTGCAAGGCATTGTGGCATGAATTCATTATTCTATTCCAATTTCACAAAAATCTCATCCTATGCTTATATTATCCTGCATTTATTAATACAACAGGACTTGGATTAAAGATACATTACTGGAAATTCTACTATATGACAGAGATTTTATTTTGGTATCTATTTTTACAAATCCAAGGTATATGATTTTTCCAACAGTTAATACTTAGCACGGAAGTGCATGGCATGCAACCTACACCATTCAAGGTTTCTGCTGCACTCTAATTATAAATATTACAAAATTGAAAAATGATTAATTACCAGGCAATGGTAATATGAATTCCCTTTGACTGATTTAATGTATCTAAGTTTAAAAATATGTATATACATTTAAAAGTATATAAGTTATATGAATATAAGTTGAAAATACATATATAAAATTTGTCTTGGCATGCTGCTCAAAGGCTGTGTGATTGTTGTCCACCAAATGATGTATAGTCATGTAAAGTTGAAAGGCATAAGAATACAGGAAAGTTGATGCAGTTTATTATGTATATAATTTGCAAAGTATTTTGTGCTACTGTATTACTTATCTTCATTGTGGAAAGGTGAACACTGAACAGAAGAAAAATCTCCAAATCCACATTACAGTCATATCTTTATTAGGTTAATCTAAGGCTACAAAATATTGTGTATATAATCCATGAATTCTCAAGTTTGGCCGAGGGAGAAAAAGGGAGAAAGCATGCTGAAGTCATTTCTACATTTTGCTGTCAGATGAACAAAGAAGCAATCTGAATATAAGGAAATCGGATCATCAAATGTAAAGATTCCCCTGGACCCCAAAATCTGCTTGATAAAGAAATAATATTATTTCTCCATTACTTTTGAAAATATAAAATAAAATCAGTTTTTCTAGCCTTTTTTCATCTTTAAATGAAATACACAATACCTTTGGTAGAAGGAAAACAGAAGGAGAAAGTACAGTTAAAACTGATACTGCTAATTATATTTTATATGCCAAGTGCATCTGGTAATGACTCAAGAAGTATAATGTAGTTTACTGGGAAAGGTAGAAAACGTGGAATATGTTTGTGTTATCAGCCCCTATAGGCAACAGAGGCTAGTTTCTATATCCACAAATGCAGTTACAATAACTGGACGGACCTATTGTGGACTAATAGCAAATATTTATTATGCCATTTAATGAGAGTAACCTTTGAAAGCTGGAATCATATAGCGTTTATCCCTTAAACCATTTATATGATCATTACACTGTAATGAGAAAGTTGTAGGTGCTTTCACTCGAGGCTTTCATAAAGAGACTGGACAATCATTGATCTGAAATGATACAATGTCTCCTGTTTGAGCAAGGGGTTGGATTAGAAGACTTCCAAGGTTCTTTCCAACTCTATTATTTTATACTCTATTCTATAATTATTAAATATTTAAGGTTCCATTGAAAAAGCATTTATAAAGAGTATTATATACAAAGAAAGCCTGGTTTCCAGAAAATATATGACTTAAAAGAGATAAGCAGTTATGATCACATAAAACCTACTGTGTTTTTATAAAACAGCCAAAATGCTGAGTTGTAGTTTGCAATTACAGGAAGGAAGCTCTTTGTTTCCATATCTGAAGTCTTAACATTTCACTGCTATTAATACAGGCTCATTCTCTGGACAACAAGAGTAGTGCACCTGAGAAAAGAAATTAGCTGCTTCTATTTAGTCCAAGGCTGTATCTAATTAAATCCACTCACTTTCCAAATCCCACAACGCCTGTATTGCAAAATCACAGAAAGGTAAGTAAAATGAGAATGTCTTCTGTGTATCAGGCAAAAACTGGTTCGAAATGCAAGACTGGGTTAATAAACACTATCCTCCAGACTGTAACCAGATGGAAACCTATTTTTCATTTCAGTGTGATTAACAATGCACATCCTAATCAGAATTCTTGGATTTGCAAACTCCAGTTACCCTTAATAACAACTATGAACGATGTCCTTTTCTCAGATGCTTTTAACTGTGGAGATTTACTTGTGTACCTGGGCTAGGAAGAGATTTGTTGTCTTTCACCTTGAATTTTCAGAGTGCCTGCTGATTTTTTTAAAATTCACCTAGGGATTACATAGTTTGCAAATGTTTACACCATTACCCAATTAACTAACAATATGGCTCTTACATCTGTCAACAAATAAAGCTGTTGTTGCTTTGTTTTAGCTCCCTGGCATTTGCTGTTCATATAGGTCGTCATTGTACTTAATTATCATGCTAGATCCCTTCTGCAGCATTTACTTTGTTATTTGTGGCATATAAATATATTGCTTTAGCATGGAAAATAGAATGTTTAACGTTTGTCTGACCAGAAGAAATGTCTTAAAAGGTATGCAACATCTAATCTAAATAATAATAAAAAATGATAACAATCTTTTTGGCCTATTAAACCAGTATCAAACGTGACAGTTAAATCTGTCTTATTATGACCTTCCTGCCTTTCTATATCTTTTGATAATAAGGACTGAGATATGTCAATCTTATTGAAATATAGACTCTCTCCTGGTAGATCACTCTTAAAGAAAGTTAATCAATTAGAACAGAAACCAAGAGAAAAATTCCAATCTCAGTCCTGGTCCTGGTTTTGGAAGCAAAGCAGGATATCAACAAGTTTTTGGGTTATAAGGCACTCTGATAATATTCTTTATAAATTTACTTAAATGAATATATATTTTCAAAGAGATTACAGTTTAATTTTTTTTACTGTAAAAATGATTTTTCCTATTCAGCTTGACATAATAATGCTGGAAGGTAACTTTAATTGCTACTCTGCAATTTATTTAAACAGCCAACATCTCTGGAGAGTGACTTTGTAATAATTTTTACTCATTTAATTGATAGTAAACCCCACTAAACTCAATTAGACATTTCTGAATAGGTGTGAATAGCATTGTGCTATTAAATTTTTATGCTGTCCATCTCACCAATACGGCGACTCTAGGTATTTTAAAGATTATATTCAATTCTGAAGAATATTATGATTCTATGGCTATATTTGGGCTAGTAGGAACATTGGAAATTTTGTAAAAGCATCCAGGCACCATCATGATCATTCTGCTACAGATGCCGTCAGTTCACAAAATGGCTGCCATGATGGCAAAGACATTAACAAAATACGAATTCTGAGAAGAACAGAGGCGGGAGGCTAAAAGATAAATAACCTGCTCATGTATCTAGATGCAAAGCAATATTATGAAAGAAGAAATTTTCTCTGAATTCCCAATTTTCACAATTCAGGAAACACATAAGTCTCTGTTAGCTTCTATCAATTGCCAAATATTAACTTTTCTAAATTTTTGGCAGGCGTTTAGAAAAACCACACTGACTTCCAGCCAAACGCTTCCTCATTCCCTGGAAGGAGCCCTTCTTCCTTTCTTTAGATTGTCCTTTGAGTCATATCCAACTGCTTGAGCTCCCTGCCATCCTTCACTTTTTTAGAATGTCTCTAGATCTAAGAAATCTTGGGGATTGAAGCTGGTATGTAAATTACAGTGTAGTCACTTTTATAGATGTTAAGCTAATCTACTTTAAAGCACTGAGTTTAGCACGATGTTTTACAGGAACATGGTGCATATACATGTATGTGTATATACAATACAGCCTCCTGGGCACAAGGAAGTCAGCTTTACAGATATATAACTATTTCTGATTATACACCTGATTTATCAGGTAAGTATAATATTAATTCAAATAATTTCATGAAGACTGAACTGATTGACATTTAAATCTTCCCTATACAGACTGAAACGATACACTGCTCAAAAAAATAAAGGGAACACTTAAACAATACAATGTAACTCCAAGTCAATCACACTTCTGTGAGATCAAACTGTCCACTTAGATAGCAACACTGATTGACAATCAATTTCACATGCTGTTGTGCAAATGGAATAGACAACAGGTGGAAAGCATAGGCAGTTAGCAAGACATCCCCAATAAAGGAGTGGTTCTGCAGGTGGTGACCACAGACCACTTCTCAGTTCCTATGCTTTCTGGCTGATGGTTTGGTCACTTTTGAATGCTGGTGGTGCTTTCACTCTAGTGGTAGCAATGAGACGGAGTCTACAACCCACACAAGTGGCTCAGGTAGTGCAGCTCATCCAGGATGGCACATCAATGCGAGCTGTGGCAAGAAGGTTTGCTGTGTCTGTCAGCGTAGTGTCCAGAGCATGGAGGAGCTACCAGGAGACAGGCCAGTACATCAGGAGACGTGGAAGAGGCCATAGGAGGGCAACAACCCAGCATCAGGAGCGCTACCTCCGCTTTTGTGCAAGGAGGGACAGGAGGAGCACTGCCAGAGCCCTGCAAAATGACCTCCAGCGGGCCACAAATGTGCATGTAGCTGCTCAAAACAGTCAGAAACAGACTCCATGAGGGTGGTATGAGGGCCCAACGTCCACAGGTGGGGGATATGCTTATAGCCCAACACCGTGCAGGACGTTTGGCATTTGCCAGAGAACATCAAGATTGGCAAATTCACCACTGGCACACTGTGTTCTTCACAGATGAAAGGAGGTTCACACTGGGCACATGTGACAGATGTGACAGGGTCTGGAGACGCTGTGGAGAAC